ATGCAGTGAAAGTGAGACAAAGAAGGGATGAAGTGACAAAGTGGGATACAGTGAAAGAGTGAGACAAGGAGGGATGAAGTGACAAAGTGGGATGCAGTGAAACAGTGAGACAAAGAAGGGATGAAGTGACAAAGTGGGATGCAGTGAAAAAGTGAGACAAGGAGGGATGAAGTGACAAAGAGGGATGCAGTGAAACAGTGAAACAAGAAGTTATGAAGTGACAAAGTGGGATGCAGTGAAAGAGTGAGACAAGGAGGGATGAAGTGACAAAGTGGGATGCAGTGAAACAGTGAGACAAAGAAGGGATGAAGTGACAAAGTGGGATGCAGTGAAAAAGTGAGACAAGGAGGGATGAAGTGACAAAGAGGGATACAGTGAAACAGTGAGACAAGAAGGGATGAAGTGACAAAGTGGGATACAGTGAAAGAGTGAAACAAGGAGGGATGAAGTGACAAAGAGGGATGCAGTGAAACAGTGAGACAGGAAGGGATGAAGTGACAAAGTGGGATGCAGTGAAAGAGTGAGACAAGGAGGGATGAAGTGACAAAGAGGGATGCAGTGAAACAGTGAGACAAGAAGGGATGAAGTGACAAAGTGGGATGCCAAGAAACAGTGAGACAAGAAGGGATGAAGTGACAAAGTGGGATGCAGTGAAACAGTGAGACAAAGAGATACAATGACAAAAAGGGGTGCATAGAAACAGTGAGACAAGGAGGAATAAAGTGACAAAGTGGGATGCAGTGAAACAGTGAGACAAGAAGAGATACAATGACAAAGAGGGGTGCATAGAAACAGTGAGACAAGAAGGGATGAAGTGACAAAGTGGGATGCAGTGAAACAGTGAGACAAAGAGATACAATGACAAAAAGGGGTGCATAGAAACAGTGAGACAAGGAGGAATAAAGTGACAAAGTGGGATGCAGTGAAACAGTGAGACAAGAAGAGATACAATGACAAAGAGGGGTGCATAGAAACAGTGAGATGAGAAGGGATGAAGTGACAAAGTGGGGTGCAGTGAAACAGTGAGACAAGGAGGGATGCAGTGGAACATAGTGAGTCAAAAAGAGATGCAGTGGA